AATTATTTATTTATGGGAGATTATGTTGATCGTGGTTATCATTCAGTTGAAACTGTAACATTATTGGTTGCACTTAAAGTTCGTTATAAAGATCGAATAACAATTCTTCGTGGTAATCATGAATCTCGACAAATTACACAAGTCTATGGATTTTATGATGAATGTTTAAGAAAATATGGCAATGCTAATGTATGGAAATATTTTACAGATTTATTTGATTATCTTCCATTAACAGCTATTGTTGATAATCAAATATTTTGTTTACATGGTGGACTTAGTCCATCAATTGATACATTAGATCATATTCGAGCATTAGATCGAATTCAAGAAGTTCCGCATGAAGGACCTATGTGTGATTTATTATGGTAAATTTTGTTTTATTAAAAAGTATTTTATATTTAATAATAAATTTAGGTCGGATCCGGATGATCGTGGTGGTTGGGGTATTTCACCTCGAGGAGCTGGTTATACATTTGGACAAGATATTTCGGAAACATTTAATCATACAAATGGTCTTCAACTTGTTTCACGTGCTCATCAATTGGTCATGGAAGGTAAGACAAAAAAGAAAAAATTTTTTTTTTTGTTCTTTAATGTTCAATTTTATATATTTATTCATTTATATCAGGTTATAATTGGTCTCACGATAAAAATGTCGTAACAATATTTTCAGCACCAAATTATTGCTATCGTTGTGGTAATCAAGCAGCAATCATGGAACTTGATGATTCATTAAAATATTCATTTCTTCAATTTGATCCAGCACCACGTCGTGGTGAAATTCAAGTAACACGCAAAATACCTGACTACTTTTTATAATCGATATAAATAAGATTTTGTTCTCTCTTATATATATTATTTGCGTGCTGATCAATAAAATGAGTTTGAGAGCGTGAGAGAGAGAGAGAGAGAGAGAGTGTGTGCGTTTAACAACGTTCATGTCATTGATACATTTCTTTATTTAGACAAAAAAAAAAAATATCAACATAAATATTAATTGGTTTTTTTTCTTTTTTTTTATTGTGTTCGTCGAGCATTTCGTTTGTTGGAATTAACTTGATTGACGTGTGATGATTGATATTTTTGATTAGATTCATAGATGCTATCATCAAATACTTTTTCATGATTCATTCGTAGAAGACTAATTGATTGTGGGTGGAGTAAAGAAATTTCGTCTTATTTTTGACTTGATTCTGATGCTACAATTTGAGATATTTTACTTACAAATAAATGTTGTTTTTAGCTGATAAGGGTTTTTTTTTTATCATATCTATTATGATGAATTTCTTGGATTGATTGAAATCTATGATGATGATTGTTTTTCAATTCAGAAGAAAATTTCTTAGAATTATCAGAAAGGTTCTAGAAGTTGTTTTAAAAAATAAATACAATATTTGTTTTTGAAATATTTGATTTTTCATACTTGTATGGAAGTAACTAGATGAAATCCATGATGATTTTGAAAAGGTATATTTTTCTCGTTGTTATTTGTTTGACGAATATCACCCGTCCATTTTCAATATTGAAACAATGCAGTCTAATCTGTTGTTGAAAGAATTCGTATATTAATTTGAAAATTTTCTCGATAATGTGTTTGTGCATAATCCATATAACTTTCAATATTCCATTTAATAACAAGACTTTCTTTTGTTAAATCAACTACGTAATACATCATATGTATGTTGATGAGCAAATTGTAAATATTGGCAAATATAATTATATGGAACTGAATCGCAAACAAGATGTATATAATTAGTATTATTTTTATTAAGTTTTAAATGTTGTATTAGTTGAGCAATATTATGTGTGTGAGTAGAATGAAGAAATCTTTCAATTTGATTCTGTTGTTGATCAATAGATGTAGCAATTAGAGAAAAACAATCAGAATGGCTGATTTTTAGAGAAACATCATAACTGTCTTTATCTAAACATATTAGATAATCACTATTAAGTCTACCATTATGATGAGATTGGTCTGATGAATGATGAACACATTGAACTGGAAAAATTGCTGCTTGAGGATAGTTTTTGTTTGTCCACTTTGAAGAATTTGGATCTTGATAATAATCTCGTATATAATTTCGAGACATAAATGTAACAGTAGATTTAATACGTGTTGCATAATTAATTAGTTGTTCAAGATTTGTGAAGATATGATTACAACGTCGTCTATTACGATCAAATTCAAATATATCAGCATCAGTAAAATAAAACTCAGTTCTTTTGTTTTTTGTTTAGTTATTACTTATTTAAATTTATCTCTAAATGAATCGGTTATAGCAAAAGTACAATAACGTGGATAAACTTCAATCGATTTTGTTTATCTTCTAATCGTTTTAATGATGTAAATAATGTTATCTTTGAAACATTTCTATCAAAAAAAAAGTATTGTTTGATCGTTATTATCATTATTAAATGACACAAGTAATGATAATCGATTCCCTGTTCATTTAAGAATATTTTTCAATGAACTATATGTGTCATTTCAAACACGTTGTGAAATGATCAAACATTGAAGATGTTCTTCTTCATTAACATGAAATGTTTGGATCATATTTTCTTAATTTACTTCTAATTTTTTCATATACATACGACATTGTTATATCGCGGACAAACATTATCCTTTACATTCTACGCATGATCAATTATGTTCGTGTGACATTTGATTTTTGTGTACTATCATGAAAAACAAAAAAAAAGTCAGGAAATCATTATGAAGTGACACAACATGATTTAGTAAATTCATGCGTATATGCAAATTAATATACCTTGATTTGTTTAACGAAAAAACAGTACAAAACAGTGTATCATTGTACAGCTTGCCAATGTTAAGTTAACCTATTGATTCTTCTAATTAAACATTGCATGTAAACAAAAAAAAGTGATGCAAAGCAGGAACTGAAACAAATAAGAAAACCTTTATTTGAATTTGATACGATTCGAGTTTGCATCCAAAATTTTTGATTTGGACTCGATTCAGACACCAGGTCGAACAATCCTATTATAATATCTTGTACGATTCTTACAAGATTATACAGGAACTTACTATATGATCTTTCGTAATCATAGAAGATCGTCCGAAAATCATATATAATATTGTATGATTCTTGTATCATTTTAATGCCAGTTCTTATACGATTCATGTATAGTTTTTCAGGGTTTTTCATGGGGTGGTGTGTACCTGATTTTCTTCTATTTTCAGCTTCTATCATCTTGTTTTCTTAAGAAAGTCTTTTATCTGTTTTGTACATGAAGACTTATAAAAATTACAAAAACTAAATGAAGACAGAAATATGTGCTTAAAAGATATAAGAAAAAAAAATATTCTTATTGAATTTGATCATTAAAATGATTGAAAATAATAAAGTAAACAGTTTAAACAAAAGAAAACCTATTTCTATTTAATCAAATTGATTAAGTTATCTGCGAAGTCATTTTTCAGCAGATCAGCATCTTTGCATAGAAGACTCACTTTCAATTCTAAAAAATTAGCGTCTAAATTAGAACGTAATGGATGATTTCGTAATCTCATATAGTATGAATCTTACAACATCCAATTGTCAGTAAGATCTTCGTAAGATTTTTCTACTTGGAACTATTACAAAAAAATGCTATTCTTATATTCATGCATATGATTTACTACTTACTTCCTAATGTTTTTTTTTTTATTACTGAGCTAACTAATTGTTGTTCTATTTCTCCGTTCTACTTACCTTTTCTATATTTGATCTATTCATAGATGTTCAAAGATTATTTATTTGTTTAAAAAGAAAAAAGAAACAATACAAAGAAGATTTTGTCCAATACTATAATTCATACAAGTTCGATATTAATGAATCTGAGACCAATGAAAAAATTAACGATCGACAGATTGGATTTTCATTCACTGAATGTATCTATCTAAATTGTATGAGCGAAGTCTGATTGCTACAAAAAATTAACTGAAAAACTTTGTAATAAAAGGATAACCGCTTGTTTTTGTAAAAAGCTTTATTTGAAAAGAATAAGTTAAACAGATACAAAAGAAACACTAGGCAGAAACTACTCAGCAAATTACAACACATATACATTGTTTTTCTGATTATACGTATATCGTTAAAAATTAAAATATCTTTTTATCAATTAAACTTTTCATAGCAAAAGATTCGTTTGAGATTGTAAATAAACAGATATCGAAAAGGAATTAAATCTATCAAAGAATATTTAAATGATAATATACGTCTGCATCATTAGCTTATACATTCACGACTAGCACTTCTATTTACAACAAACAAACGAATTTAATTATAACGTCTAAACTGCTACCCATGTTATTTAAACTACACGAAGACTGCTGATTAACCACTAATCTTCGGCGTAATTTTGTTTTTGTATTTCAGTGTATGAATATTTTTAAACTCTTAGAAAAATGTTAAATTTCAGTTGAAACTGTATTCCATTATTGTTGTGAATGAGCTCAAGCCATCTATACCAGTCACATCAGCTGTTATCGGTTAGTTTTCGAATTTGATTGTTGATCAAAGCTGGAGGCACAAGAATAGTCATTAACTGAAAGACTTAATCACTAGGAAAAAGTGCAACGCATCTGACACAATATACCGCGATATATTAAGATCGACTTTTTTTGAGTTGAAATCGATCTCTTCAAGGCCGAAAATATTAATTCAATAGATAAATTATCAAAAGCTTGATAACAAAAAGGACTAAATCGGTCGAACCATCGGTTTTGAAAAAAAATTAACGACTTAAGTATTTTTTTTTGCATCTGCGTCAATTCTCAGTTTCACGTAACATTATTAAGTCAGTTAAATTAGTATCAATGACATATTTACTCCTGAAATTTCGAGACTTTGTTCTTTGTTCCAGATTTCTCGGTTATATTTAGTAGCAAACAATTTTCGTTCGGTTTAATCATGCTCAACTGTTATTCAATGGATGTCTGAATGAAATAATGAGAATCGTTGTTCAGCAAAAAAAAATTGAAAGATGATAATTAGTATTTTATTTTATTTATTTTTTATTAGATAATAGACTGATCTGTACTCCGTTCGTACTTATCAGACTATGAAGTTGAATATATTTTAATTTCGTTTCTTTTTATTTTTTCTTCGATAGATTTGTGATCTAGAGAACAAATCTAATAAAGATATCTTCATTCGATGTGATTCTGTTTCAGTCTTTAATATGCAATTAACTTATTTGGAATGTATCACATTCAGTTTATCTACTTGTTGTATATGCAACAGAAGTCAAAAATTAATGATACAAAAGAACAAATATTTACTTGAAATATTCATATGAGATATGTATAGTCAATGATTGTCTAAAATTGCGATTAGATCATGTTACAGATTTTATGATTATAACTGTCAGTGCAAATGGTCGAAATAACTAGTTACAAAAAATAGTGTTTAGATCAATGCAAATAACTTTCTTAGTTTGTTAATATAATAGATCAAAATAAGATTTACTCATAAAAGATTTATTTTATAGATTTATGCTAAATCATAGCAGATTTAAGTCATCAAAAGAATTCTTTTATTTGCCATTACAATTGTCTGGATAGTATGTACCATTACATGAGCATAAATATGGAAAGCTTGCAGTACCAGTAACTATGCATTGACCAGGTGAACAATCCAGTGGACATTCTGAAAATATTTTAATTATAGATGCTAATGAGAAAGAACAAATGGACTTACGTTTAGAGAAGTTCATTGTTTCGCAATTTTCACCATCGAACATACCGGGACAGATACATAAATATGAATTGTCACTTTGATAACAAGTACCACCATTCATACAAGGTGCGTCATTGCACGTTAATGGAACTAAAAAAATGCCAAAGTATAAAACCAATCATAGAAGTTTATTTTAGCTATAAGTTCTTTGATGAATTATAAGTAAAAAACAAACATAAATTTAACTAGAACCTATACTTTGAAATGAAATACTCTTACTGATACTCGAAAATTCCGCGAATGCATCTAAACACTTGATCACTACATTCACCTCTCTTCAGACAATTGACTTTATCTATATTTATCAGCTAAATTTGATAAGAGTATAACTTGATAACTTGTCAAACACCAAAATGATTTCACAACACTCTATGGAATGCATTTGCCATTCATTTAAAGCTTCTCTAAAAGTATTTTTCTACGCATTTTAAACTAATCTATTAAATCTATGAAAATGAACAAAAACCGATATACCTTTTGTTTCGCATTGTCGTCCCTTTGTTCCTTTGGGACATGCACATACAAATATGCCATCGCGTGAAATACAAGTGCCATTATTTAGGCAGGGTGCCGAATCGCATGGATCGAATGAGCCATGTTCACAATAACGACCAGAAGCACCGGAAGGACAAATACAGAATGCTTCGGAACCCATAGAAACGCATGAACCATGGTTACGACAAGGCGAAGCCCTGCATGGATCAGAGAATGTTTCATTAAATTCACAATTGTATCCAGTTGTTCCCCAACGACAAGCACAATAATAGGTACCATTGGTGGAAATACATGCTGCATTATTCATACAAGGATTACTACTACAAGCATTATACTGTCCCCATTGATATTCACAAAAGACTCCGCTTGTACCATAAGGACAGCTGCAATAAGATGCATTACCATATGACATACAGGTACCACCATTGAGACACGCGGAATATAAACAAGAGTTAGATGTTGATGTCGTTTCATTAAATTCACAATTGTATCCAGTTGTTCCCCAACGACAAGCACAATAATAGGTACCGTTGGTGGAAATACATGATGCATTATTCATACAAGGATTACTTCTACAAGCATTATACTGTCCCCATTGATATTCACAAAAGACTCCGCTTGTACCATAAGGACAGCTACAATAAGATGCATTACCATATGACATACAGGAACCACCATTGAAACATGTGAAATTTAAACAAAAGTTAGGTGATGAAGTTGTTTCGTTAAATTCACAATTGTATCCAGTTGTTCCCCAAGGACAAGCACAATA